AAAAATCGTGCACCTATGGATGAGGACAGTGGGTGGGGAGTGAGGGCGGAGGGTGGGGCGGGAACTGGGAGGAGGGGAGTTATGGGGGGAAAAAGAGGAACAAATGTAATAATCTGAACAATAAAGATTTAATTTTAAAGAAATAAATAAATAAAAACAAAACAACAAAAAAAGAAGAAGAAGAACCTGAGGGGCCGACACGCTGAGCCAGCGTGGACGTGACCGTGACAGGAGCAGAAACAGAATGCGGGGACCAGCTGGAACCGTCAGGACCATCGGCCACGCGGTTTACCGCAATGGCTTTGTTCCGAGGAGAGAAGGCGCCTGCGCCCCTGGCTGGCGGCTGCACTCAGGACCTGGGGGCTCACCTGGAAGTGCGGCCCGTCCTCCCCGTGGGGGAGCTGCCCCGAGCCCTTTGAAGGCCCCGGGCCTTTGCATACCCACAGGCCTTTGCTGGTCTCCACGCCCGCCTTCCCGGTACACTGCTCATCTGCCCTTTTGCCTCCTTCCCATGTAATCCGAGTCCTTCTACCAAATAAGCAGCCAGCTTATGGGGGTGCAGAGCAGAATGTTGTGGGTGACCCACTGTCTCCCGCGCTGCCGGAGGGATTGGAATAAACGCTCACCTAGGATTCAACCCCGTCTGCTGAATTGACTCAGGGAGTGACAGGCAGCCGGACTCCTGCTTGCCCGGTGACAGATGCAGCACGGCAGTGCCCTGGGACCCGCACAGGGACAGCCCAGGGCAGGCCTCCCTCTCGGAGGGACTGGCTGTTACTGTGGCCCCCGCCCGGCGCCCTGCTCCCAGGAGCACGGAGCCCACCAGGCAGGGCGGACCTGGGGAGCCTGGGCTGCATGGGCAACGTGGAGGGGCCGCCCGCCCGCACGGCGGTGCATGTACGGCTCTTGGAAACGTCACGGGAGAGCGGCCACTCACCGGCGCTGATGGTTCCCTTGCAGACGGGCTCGCTCCACTGCCCGGCTTTGCTCCGCTCGGGAAGAAAGCCCCGGACTTGAACACAGTAGGTGGTCCACGGCTCCAGGTTCCGGAGGACCTCGAAGTCATGCTGACAAGTCACTGGATACTAGTCAGGGAGACAAAGATAAGAACAGGCCTCAGTGGGGAAGGGACATGGGCCCCCCTTCCCCTGCACCCCCGCTCCAGGTATAATCTGAACATCAGGCTCAAGGCAGGAAGATGAAGGGACCACGATGTCTCCCAGCTCATCCCGGGGTCCCTTCTAAGAGGGGGGCAGGCACTGACTGATCCTCACATACGTGTTTCTTGTTAATCCTCGTCTGAGGGATTTTCCCATTGATTTTTAGAGCGAGCGAGAGAGAGAGGGAAAGACAGAGAGAACATCGATATGAGAGAGACACATCGAATGGTTGCCTCCTGCAGGAGCCCCAACCAGGCCTGGGCCAGAAGGAGCCTGCAACCAAGCAAGGTATGTGCCCTTGACCGGAATCGAACCTGGACCCTTGGTCTGCAGGCCGGCCCTCTATCCACTGAGCCACACCGGCCAGGGCACAGATGTGTTTCTTCAATTCTTTAGTTTAAACGACACATAAACCATCCCACTTCCTTTTCAAAAAGGATCTACTAGTTGTACATGTTGCACTGTGCACCCCCCTTCCCCCCCAGCTCACACACCGAAGTCCTAACCCCTGTGCCTTAGAGAGAGACCCAGTTGGATACAGTGTGGGCTTTACAGGGACAGTCAGGTTAAATGACAGCCTTAGGAGACCACCAGGCTAAGAGGATGCCAGCATGACCTGTGTCCTTATAGGCAGAGGACGTGTGGACACCGACACGCACGCAGGGAGGCGGCCGTGTGAAGACGAGGGCAGAGAGGGAATGATGCTGCTACAGGCCCAGGAGCCAAGGGTTATCAGCGACCAGCAGAGGCTGGGGCGGGGCCTGGAGCAGCCGGTCCCTCAGCCTCGAGGGACCCAGCCCTGCAGATGCCGTGACCTGACCTCCAGCCTCCAGAACCTGGAGGCCATCACCCTGTCCCTGAGGTCGCCGCCTGGGGTGTTTTGTTACAGCAGCCAGAGCTGACTGATACACGATCATCTACAGTGAGACTCAGTGTGACTTTCTTTCCAAGTCAAGAGCCTGAGTCTGATCCTGGCTGCTGGGGTTCCCTCTGCTCGTGCACCCGGGGTGCCCCCGCCCCGAGTGGCCCACCTCACTCGCAGGGCCCACACCACCGCCTGCCTGGAGGGCGCCTCCCCAACTCCTCTTAGCTCAATCTGAATGTAAAACATCACGACTGAATCTGAGAATCCAAAGCCGTTTCTGGCAAAACACAGGGGATGCGGAGCACCTGCTCCTCGCATGTCCATCCTGGGGAACTGCCTGTGGAAGGGGCCACGGAAAGTCCGTCACAGGCACGGGGACGTCCACGGACAGCGAGCACAGGCCTGTGCTGTGCTGGGAGCTGGTTGTTTTCTGTGGGGGTTGGGTTCATCGGCATCTTGCTGATGTGCCTTTATTGCACGAGAAGCCGGATCCACCGAGGGAAGGAATTGGACGATACCCGTCGGACACATGAGGGGGATCGTGTGACTCCGAATAACTAAAACCAAGAAAAGCCCCAACTCCTGGGTGGTTCCTGGAAATCCAACCCTCTGGCACCGTGCGATGCTCTCGTCAAAGGCGACCCTGGGGGGCAGAGCGGGGCGGGGGGCGGGGGGCCCTCCCATGGCTTCTCCTGCCCTCCTTCCCTCTGGGCAATTCCTGGCTGCACTTTCTCCCATCAGGAAGCAATAGCGTTTCTAAAGCCGCGCCTGCTCTCAGTTAGGGCCTAACTCGGGCCTCTGGAAGCGTCTGAGGCGAGAAGAGACCACATGGTCTTGTTCGCGGGGGCGGGGGACTGGGGGGGACCTGCCTCCGCAGAAAACCACAGACGGGGGCTCATAACAAGTGTCCTCCCAGCTCTGAGGCTGGAGTCCCAGGTGTAGGTGCCAGCAGACCTGTGTCCGGTGGGGAGGCACTTCTGGGCTCAAAGCTGCTATTTCCTGGGGTCCTCACAGGGCGGGAGGGGCGAGGAGTCTCCGGGGCCTCGTTAATAAAAGCTCCCCCTTCACGACCGGATCACCCCTCCTCCCGCCACCATCCCATGAGGGCTTGTGTTTCGACAGGTGGACTGGGGGTGGGGGACATAGACGTTCAGCCACAGCACAGATCAACTGGCAATGGCACCCGGCCGGCGCGGCTCAGTGGTTGAGCATCGACCTATGAACCAGGAGGTCACAGTTCGATTCCAGGTCAGGGCACAGGCCCGGGTTGCGGGCTCCATCTCCATCGTATAGGAGGCAGCCAATCAATGATCCTCTCTCATCATTGATGTTTCTCTCTCTCTCTCCCTGTCCCTTCCTCTCTGAAATCAATTAAAAAATATACATTTTTTTAAAAAGGAAGGTGGATATCTTGCATACTTTAATGGAGCATTTTCTGAGGGGAAAAGTTAACTTGAAATTTTGTGGGGTGCTATGCAGTACATACACGTAAATTTAATTACAACATTCCTGGGACAGTACACATGGCTGACCCTTGGCCGCCAAATGCTTGAGTGATAAAATCGACATCGATGCAGCGGAGGTAACACCCATGTAAGGTAAGGGACATAACACGCAGGTACGTCCGTTTAGGGCCACACGTGGCTTTCGGCTCAGAAGCACTAAGAATGAGAATAAAGCTGACCCAGGCCAAGGGCAAACCACCTTCACGCGTCTGCGTCTGGGGAAGGGGCCCCGGTGCTGCCCCACGCTGGCCTGGCGAGGGAGCGCGGCCCAGGTTCTCCTGGTGTCCTCCGGTCCCCCAACCACCGCCCCCCAACCACCCCAAGCCGCGGCTGCTCTCCCGCTGTGCTGACGAAGTGGGCCACTGTGGTCGCGGTGCAGACATGAGGAAGCTGAGGTCAAGCATGTGACCAGAGCCACTCGGTGGCAGGGGCCAATTCCCCACAGGTCTTCCCACCCCAGCCCATGTTTTGAAAAGGATGGTCCCCCAAAGAGGGGGGGGGTGCTGGGGAAAAGCGGCCCCAACAGGTACCATGTGACACTGCTCAGCCTGGGGTGGGCTGCCTGACCGTGGGCTGGACTGTCCTGTGGTGTAGGGGGGGCTGAGGGTTCAGGCCACAACACGGTCATCATTCAGCGACCGCCTGACTCAGTGGATCACCTGACTCAGCCTCTCCAAGGCCTCCAGCCAGCCGCTGAGTCAGCCTGCCTTCGTCCACTTCCCTTCGGGGAAGGCACGGGTCTGCTCTCCGGCACCAGCACCCAGGAGGTCTGCTCCGGGCACTTCCCTGGGGCCTGGGGGTGTGAGCTGGGGCACCGGTCCTCCCTCAGACCGGGCCTTCGGGTGCTCACAGGCCGCAGGTCCCTGGACCTTAGGGTGCTGCCTCCTTGTAAGACCCTGGCCAGAGGGCCCCCTAGCGCCCTCCCTCTGTCCTCATGGCCTCACACCCACACGGAGCCAAGAGCAGGGAGCCTACGTCTGCCATGCCCACGGCCTGCCCAGCTCACCTTGGTGTCCGAGCCGTTCTTCCAATACTGCATGTGATAAAGCCACGGGTTATAAATGTTCTTCATGGTCCATGTCTCATGTTCATTCTCAATTCTCGGGGCCAAGAAACTTACGTGTAAGGAATTAGCCAGTGCCTCCACTTGCAAGCCAGGAGGTCCGATGGCGGCTGAGGATGAGAACAAAGCACAATGACAATCAAAAAATCGTCGTTTAAAAATGTCAACATTTAGTTTCCATAACCGCGCAGACCCGCTGGTCTGCTCTTGGATATACCCCTGCTCTGACACGGACTGCCGTGGCTAAGGAGGGCGGCTGGATTTTGTTTCTGAAAAACAAACCTGACAACCTTGGCTTTTATTAATCATTTTGGTTCATTTACATTTGTTGTAATTTCTGATGTCTTCCAAACTATTCCAAGTGCCTTATTTTGTGTTTCCTGTAAAGACTGCTCCCCCCGCCCCCCGGCTTACTAGGTTGAATTGGCTTTATCTCCTTGGCGGGGTTAGAAGCTACAGATGGTATTTCTGCTATTCTCAGTGTTTAACAGATACAATTAACCACATACGCTTTCCAATGGAGCCTGAAGTTGTTGCCTTCCAAACACTCTTTTACTAGATGTGCACAGGGCTGGGTCTCAGCTCCAATGCTGCCTCCAGAGCCAGAAGCTGCCCCTCACAAAAGACTGCTTTCCCCCGGCCCCCCATGTAAAGAGCAGCTCACCACCTCCTGCCTGGGAGCCTCGCTTTATTTTCCTGACAGCCACGGCCACTCTGTTATGAGACATGTATCTAGCCCAGCTGGTGTGGTTCAGTGGTTGAGTGTCGACCTATGAACCAGGAGGTCACCATTGGACTCCTGGTCGGGGCACCTGCCCTGGTTGCGGGTTCCACCCCAGTATGGGGTGTGCAGGGGGCAGCCGATCCATGATTCTCTCTCATCATTTCTATCTTTAGAAAAGATAATATAACTCGAATAATTTCCGACTCCAGAAATAAGAGTGCTTTGGGGCAGCCTGGGGACTGGGGAAGGGCGGAAGGACACCCTGGCTGCATTCCCTCCCCGAGTGAGCGGAACTGGGGGAGCCCCCAGGGCCCAGGGCAGGGGGTGCGATAGAGATGACCCTCCTAAGTGTGTCTCCGCGCCCTGGAAGGCTGTACTTGAGTCTGTTCATGAGGTCCCTGTAAGCTCTCGCAGGGGCTGCACAGTGGTTTAATCAGTTTCCAATCCCTGAGGTCCTGTTACGTTCACCTCATGACCTCTGGGGGCCCCCCAGGACCCTCTAGATCTCACCTGGGCACCGTGTTTATGCTTCCCAGCTAGCCTGACCCCACACACCTGCCATCTGCTGTGTCCACTGCTCTGCCCTTCGTTCTGGGCAAGTGGGCTGTCTGCACCTGGTCTCCCTGTCCCCACACCTGCCTGGAATACCTTTATTCTTGGCCCTGTCACATTTACGTCCTAATTCCAAACTCACTTCCTCCCAGAAAATGTCCTACAGTCATACACCGTGTAACGGTGTGTCGGCCAATGATGGACCACATGTATGACCCTGGCCCCTTAAGATTATAATGAGCTGAAGATTCCCATCACCCAGAGATGTCATAGGCATCATGATGTCATAGAGCAGTGACGGCGAACCTATGACACCGTGTCAGAGGTGACACGCGAACTCATTTTTTTGGTTGATTTTTTTCTTTGTTAAATGGCATTTAAATATGTAAAATAACATATCAAAAATATAAATCTTTGTTTTACTATGGTTGCAAATATCAAAAAATTTCTATGTGACACGGCACCAGAGTTAAGGTGGGGTTTTAGTTAGGGTTTCAAAATGCTGACACGCCGACTCAAAAGGTTTGCCATCACTGTCCTAGAGCAACGCGTTACTAACAGGTCTGTGTGATGCTGGTGTCAAAAAACTTTTTTCCAAAAGACTGATACTAGTAATATATATATATATATATATACTTTTAATATATTTTTAATTGATTTCAGAGAATAAGAGGAAGAGAGAGATAGAAATATGAATGATGAGAGAGAATCCTGGACCGGGTGCCTCCTGCGCTGTGGGCATGTGGCCTGATTGGGAATTGAACCGGTAATCCCTTGGTTCCTGGGTCGACGCTCAACCGCTGAGCCACCCCGGCGGGGCCCCTCTCTGTGTTTAGATACAGATACTCACCGTGCGTTCCACCTGCCCACAGAACTCAGGGCAGCGACGAGCTGGCCAGGCCGTGGCCCAGGAGCCCAGGGCCAGGCCACAAGGCACAGGTGTGCAGTGGGCCGTGCCGTCCAGGCGGGTGAGGGTCTCTGTGGTGACTACCCACTGAGATCACCTGGAGGCACATTTCTCAGGGGTACCCCCTGGCTCAGCGGTGCACGACTGTACGTTAACCATCCAGGTCTCCTCATGAACAGCCCTGGCCCCAACTCTTCTCACCTCGAAGGCACCCCGCTACTACATTTCTACCTAATTCCATTACTGACTTTCTGCCTGCCCTCCCGTCTCTCCCAGCAGCTTCTTGAAGGCCACAGTCCCCTCTGCTGCGTCTTCCCCAAGTTCCCGGCACAAGGCCATCCACTTTGTGGGCACCCAAAGGGTTCTGGCTGACGGGCAGCTGATGGGGAAGACCCAAGGCGTGGCGAGGACATCACAGCGAAACGGAAAGCAGGGCGACTTACTGTCATCGATGGGACAGAAGGTGAGGTTCACCCAGTCAGAGTGCTCGGCCCCGAGCTCGGCCCGGACGCGCAGGGTGTGGTTGCCGTACTTGGAGAGCTCCGAGAAGTCGCACTCTGTGGCGGCAGTGCCCACACACCTGTCCTGGAACTTCCTGTAACTACAGAACCGGAGACAGGACGCCTGAGGCTGTTACTCACTGACGGGCGGCCTCCTGAACACCCTCCCCCCCAACTGGGGATCCAGCTTGCAACCCAGGCATGCGACCTTGACCGGAATCTAATTGTGACCTCCTAGTTCATAGGTCACCACTGAGCCACACCAGCCAGGTGAGCAAGCAAATTCTTCATCATCAGTGTTGACGACTAGGATGCATCATTTATGAGCATTTTACACACTGAGTCCCATGGGACTTCGATGCTCCTAGAGCAGTGGTTCTCAACCTTCTGGCCCTTTAAATACAGCTCCTCATGTTGTGACCCAACCATACAATTATTTTCGTTGCTACTTCATAACGGTCATGTTGCTACTGTTATGAATCGTCATGTAAATATCTGATCTGCAGGATGGTCTTAGGCGACACCTGTGAAAGGGTCGTTCGACCGCCAAAGGGGTCGCGACCCACAGGTTGAGAACCGCTGTCCTAGAGCTATTTCAAAAATGGTCCATTCCAGCCTGGCGGGCGTGGCTCCGTGGTTGAGTGTTGACCTGTGAACCAGGAGGTCTAGGATTCCGGGTCAGGGCATGTGCCTGGGTTGTGGGCTCAAGCCCCAGTAGGGGCCGTGCAGGAGGCAGCCGATCAATGATGCTCATCATTGATGTTGGCTCAGTGGATAGAGCGTCTGCCTGCGGACTGAAGGGTCCCAGGTTCGATTCCGGTCAAGGGCACATGCCTGGGTTGTGGGTTTGATCCCCAGTAGGGGGTGTGCAGGAGGCATCTCTCATCATTGATGTTTCTCTCTCTCCTTTTCCCTTCCTCTCTGAAATCAATAAAAATATATTCAAAAAAAGAAAAAAGGTCGGTTCCAGGGTCAAACAATTTGGGGCAAAAACTGGGTTGAACGTGGAGAGGTGCCTGTGTTCACAACAGAAGTTCTGAGACTTCCTGTCCCCGAGCACCTGCCTCCCCAGCGGGAGCCAAGCATCCCACACACGTGACGAAGGCAGCCCCTCCCGGTTATGTGCTCTGCAAACGGGCACACGGCTGTGCGAGGTGGACGCACACGATCCGCCGCAGTGAGCACATGACAGTGATTTCGAACGTCCTGTGCGTGACTTCGCTGTGATCTCCCCGGAAAAAGGGGAAACAATTGGTTGACCTCCGCTCCCCGCCCTGACACCAGCCACTGAGGGGTGGGGGGCCGACAGGGGAGGAGGCAGAACAGGGCTGTTCGGGAGTCCCCCCAGGGGTGTGACTTCTCCTCCCCGCAGCCCCGAGGGGAGGGCACTGAGCTCCACCTGCCCGAGGAGCGCCAGGCTCTGTCCCTCCGGTTCCTCGCCCGCCCGCCCCGTCTGGGCGCCACAGCCGGCGAGGTGGCCAGAAAGCTGCTGAT